GATGGTGGCAAGGATCATGGCGAAAGAATGTTCGGTTATGGCCCTTGTGTATAGGTTTGAATAGTCCGTGGCTGTGATATTGATTAGGGTAAAGCAGCACCTCAGACGTCACCTATGAGGTCTAATGTCGATGTCACCAAATTCGCATAGCAAGTGCCGTTGGAAAGCAGGAAACAACTTGTAGAAAGACCCTCATGTTGGACGGTACGGGGCCAAGTTGGATCCCACACATCCTGAATGACATTCTCTCGTCTCTCATACCCTTGATTGAGATTTCCTTTTGGAACTCTAGGTGTGTTTCGCCAATATTGTGGATGTTATGATGTTGCTTGGTTGCTCTTGAGTGGACTTATCAGCAATGATCGTCGGACTCTCCGAGTGGCATTTGATAGCTCGCCAAGTCATATCGTATATTTGGGAACCGTGCTCGTTCTCGCAGTACCTTGGGGCTCTCATAACCTCTCGCCTGCTCTGTTGAGTAACACCAGCGCACCGTCGACCGCATGCCGAGATTGACTCTGGAATCAGAGGGGTGCGAGATCTCCATCGACCATGGGCGTCACGATATTATGGGTACTATTCTCTAGACATGCTAGATGGGCGAGATTCTTCGTGAGTATAAGCGCACCCCAGCCCTGGATCATCCAAGATAACATCAAAACGGCGTTCTTGTCATCTCTCTTCTCGAGGTCATTTCTTTCTGCCCCATTTCGCCGTCTCGATTCTCCCCCCTGAGTGCTCATCACCTCTGCTTTGACTTCTGTGATGGTCGAGAGGGGAATAAAGGCGGTGAAAGGGGTCTTGTTTCCATCGATGTAGTCCTCATATTCTATACATGAGAGAGAGCCGGGAGACGAGGTCTGGTGTATGTTCGAGGATCTAGGCTCATACCAATTCAGGTCGGTGGCTTACCTTGGCTTTGGTACATCGAGGGCGAACGATTGATGCGGTGCTGGAGCTTCTATTTAATCGATGTAGCACACACACATAAGAGTGAATCCTAGAGAAGTCCTGATTTAGTAGCAATGAAAGCTCAACCGAACTGATCTGGGGAGGGTGGTCATCGACGAAGCGCGCCATGACGAGCTCGGAGTAAGGGAGGAGGGCGATTGCTGATGGATGAAGAGGGGGGAGAGCAGGTATTCAACTTGACACTGTGAGAGGGTCTTTGACGTAGAGGTAAAGTCTTCCCTTCATTTTGATTTATCGTTTTCCGTTGTTGCTCGTGTCGGAAGGAGTCTATGTGTAATCTGATTTTATCGATGTTCCTATTCACCAGAAGTTGTCAGGTTCACACAGCCTCCTTTTCCAAGATTTCTTCTGATCGGGAGGATCGAACCTTGCCCCTTTGGAGGACGGTGATTTAGCTTCTCTGTCTGAGATGAAGTTGTGGTATCCTTTAACAGTCGGGTAACATACTGAGCTTGACTTTTTCACTGCTAGCTAAGAAGCGTGTATGTTGTCGTTTTACATCTACGGATACCCCCCCCCCCCCCTTCAGATTTGCTAGTCTACGTAAAATCGAATCTGACTGATTTTCGAAGGTAACTTGGAGCTTCTGAGTTCCGTGATGGTGTCGAATGCCTTTGATATACCCTTTCAGTCATGCTCCAAAGTCGCTGGGTGTAAGTTCGGGACACGGCCAAACTGCTGTCCTGGCTTAGTTGCCGACATAACCTTGACCTAAAAAGGATGAGTGGCTTTGTTTTCCGCGGATACGATGGTGAAATTAGACGGGCTTATGTATTCTTTCACGTGATCTCCAAACGAAGAACAGGCCCTTTGGAGATCTGAAGCAGTTCTCTCGAGGTGATGTGTGGTCAAATTTGTTTGATTCTTGTGGCCCTCAGCAGATATGGGCGTGTCTGATGAACCAGTTCCATCGGGGAGATATCCCTGGGGGTTCAAGTGAATGTATGAAGCCAGCTCTTCATCTCTTTGCTGCCTGATGGAAATCTTCTCCATCTGCAGAACGCCGATAGTTCTCCTTGTGGGAGCTCATCAGCCAAAGCAGCCGGAGTCAGTCTCAACCCGTTGTAATTAGGTCATGATTTATGACTGCCTTGTCTAGGTCATCCATTGTATAGTGATTTGGGATGTTGCTAAGCGTTAGTGAGGAAGTGTAAGATGGGGATTAGTCAATAGCTTTGACGCCGAAGATAACTCCAAAGCACTTCATCTGTTGACTTGGGTACACAACAAAGACGTTCTGCTCACGGATATAGAGAGACCTGCGAAGGATCTACGATTCTTGAATGGGAACAGCAGCACTTGATGGCAACGGAAATGCCTTGAAGACTGGAAACATGCGGATGGCAACAGAATAGCGGGACATCTCACGCTAAGCAAGTCACCTGCCCGAGATCCAAGTTCTTCACAAGTCAATGAGAAATGGTGTCTATTTGAATCTTCACTGGCAGGGTCAGCTATGATAGTGGGTTAGATTTTTGGAATGCGTAAGATCTAGATCAGGCTCGAGATCCTGTCTTGGAGAAGATGGAATAGAGTGGGTTGCGTGACGGTGACCCCTGCTCGCTGGTTTCGTGCTTTGAGCAAGTTGATTGATCTTTGGATAATTTCCTTGCAGCAAACGGCATAAGATTGAGTAGAAAAGTCGAATCAGAACGTCAGGACTTGGCCGAGTATGTAGTCGTTATCCCTCAAATACTCTGATAGCACGCTCGCGTGGTCTAAGGTATGGACTTGGCTTATAGATGCCGCTGCCTAGGACTCCAAGATATGCATTGGGACCCAAAGACTCAAACCCATTGGGAACTAAACCCACGAGGACGCAAACTACCCATAAGGACCCGAACTACCCATGGACTGTAACAGCCAATTAGTCGATAAAAGAGTCGGCCGGTCCATATAATAAGTTGCTTCTTCTACCACCGCCTCTCTTTATGTTACCATTATTTGTTGTATGAAGCTTCTTGTATGACACTATCAAGAAAATGCATCAAGACAACCAGTGAGTATGATCAGTTGCAGCGATAGTGGCGTGTGCAATTCAGAACTCAAGATGTATTGGGTTGCAAATCATTCTCCTACTCAGCTGCCTCCGCTGAGAACTGGGAATAGCCCAAGGGATTCGACATTACGATTGCGTATGGGCACATAAAGTCATGAGTGTCCAAGCTAAACCATGAGTACCCGAGATGCTCGTGGGGATTCGAGCCCACAATAAGATTCAGAGACCCAAATCTATGGGTAGCCCAACTACCCACGGGGATTCAGATCCATGGGGACCCAAGCCCATGAAGACGTTTGGGATCCAAATACCATACAGTGTCAAAAAGGAAGCATGCGAAAGTCGGCATGATCAAGTTTCTAGAATTTGGCGCCAGGCGTGAGACGATAGAACCGATGAGATCGAATGCCACATGGCGCATCTCTTGAAACAACATAGACGAACGGAAATGGTTCTCGAAGGTCGATCACCAACTAGCTGTGTTAGTGCGCAGTCCAACAGCAAGCCCCGAGTCTAAGGCGTCACATCGTGGGTTTGGCCGGGTCGCTAGAGGCGCCCAACCGCTGGAACACGAATCGTAAGCTAATCTGAAAAGTGCGAGCTACCAATACAACAGCGGAAGACTGGAAGACATTGGGGTGGCTGAGGGGGAACATTGTTCGTGAATAAGGCCTGGGACGGCGCCACAACCGTCTGGAGTGTCCGTTGCGGCCGGGGATAAGCTAGGTCGTCGGTGGTCCACGGGGCCGGACATTCCCACGTGACTAGAGTCGCATCATGGGCATCTTGGCTGGAATATGACGCCAACGTCTTTCCCAATCCGGCATGGACCCGCGATCTTGCACCAGAAGTCCTCGCTTGCTTCGATACGGGACATGTACTGTCTCGACGGGGAACAATAACAAGGCAGCCAAAGATATGTGATAAAAAGTAGTCGGTCAAGCCAACAGTCCAACTCACGTTGAATCACATGAAAGTTCATTATCCGGACTGAGTGAGTGTAAGACAGAGTATCATCGGCTCCGGGTCTTCCGTCTAGAGTTCGGATAAGTATCACCGTGGGGGGGCTGGAGTGTGCTGGGATCTAAGCTGGAAGGAGTCGGAAGCACGCTAGCTTCGCTAAAGATGGAAAGACGCTAGTGCATATCGGTGGATAGTGCACTGTTTGTCATACCTGCAGATCCTGAGCAATTGCGCCAATGGCCCCAATGCTCGGTCAGCAGGGCAAGCCGCAAGAGAAGGACGGGCGGGACGGTGAATTTCACAATTAGTGCTAAGGTATGGGAAACTGGAAGCTTCCGTCATTCCATTCCCAGCAAGTCGGGCCACAGTCTACAGCCTACAGTCCACACACACACACACACACAAACACACACAAGCCCAGCCATCCATTCGCACTTGTTACACCACCCGGCACGCACCAGTCACCATCCACCACCAACCTAACGCCAGCACCTCCCGCAGCCCAGCGGCCAGCCATGATTTCCTCGGGCTTTCCTTGACTTTCCCCAAGGTTGCAATGCGAACCTCTTGACTTTTCAACTTCACATACCGCTTCCTTCGTCCCTCACACGGCAGACGCCTTCTTCTGACCTTTTCGGTTCTGTCTTATACCCAGTCGTTTTTCGTTTCTCGGGACCAGAAGATTAAAGGACCAACCCTCCCCTTGCAACACCTTTTTGTTGTTGTTGTTTTCCCCCAAAATCGACAGCCGAAATCCATTCGCTTGCCTGCCTACTAGGAACCTTGGCTTAATCCCAGGCTTCAGCCCGATCCACCTTGTTTGGGCGACCCGACCAGTTCCCCCTCGACGACCGACCGCGACTGCGACTACAACACGACACACAACCCCTGGTGACTCCTGTGTCACCTGGAAACCTTCTTCTTCTTAAGAGTCTTCGACTTAAGCACATCATCACCACCTTTGCCTCCCTATCGCTCGCCCAATATCGTCTTCAATTTCATCCATTATTGCGAAACCGCAACCGCTCGAACCTCCGAAACATCGAAGCCAGGCACGCCATACAACATGCGTCGCCCTTCGGCAGACCTCACCGACCCTTCGCGCAATCTAGAGGAGTCTGTTGGCTCACCATCGTCAGCCATGGAGGGAGCAGACGTTGACCTATCCATGCCCCCGACCTCCGACGAGGAGATGGACGACACTGACGGCCGCATCTTCACCCCGCCTCCGCACATCGCCGCCCGCTTCTACCGGCCGTCCCAGACCCGTCGCAAGGACTCAGCAGCTTCTTCCCGCCGCAACTCCATCTCTTCTGCTCATTCCCGTTGTTCCTCGACCCAGACCTTTACCCGCCATGGAGATTCTGACCAGAGCAAGCACATTGCACAGCACCTCCGGCGCACGTCCTTTCTCGAAGACCGAAAAGCACGCCTCGCCGACCGAGCTGCCCACGCCGAAAAGGTTCGTCTGAGAGCCGCCATGGCTAAGGCCAGCCACCGCGACACCTCCCTATCCGAAGAACGAGCTATTGCTGCCCAACAAGCCCGGGAGCGCAACCTAGCTGAGATCGTGGCTTCCTGTGCCGAGGAGGTCAAGAGGGCCAAGGCCATTGCAGAGACCATGAAGGGCAAGAGAGAACAGGAACTGGTCAAGCTCCGCGTTCAGATGGAAGAACGCTTGGCCGAGGCCGAGCGGAGGAGAGAAGAGTTGAAAGGCCGTAATGCCACCAAGAGGGCGCGGGGCCAGAGTCTCATGTCGCGGAAGCCCACTGAGGCCTCTTCGAATACCTCTGACGAGAAGCGTGCTCGGATGTTGAGTGAGCCTGAAGCGGCCGAAAAGTTGCAATGGTGGTGGAAGAGCCTCATGAGAAGAAAGGCTGTCGCTGAGTTCTCCGAGTTAGGCATCACCATTGACGGCGTGCGGGACACGTCCTTTGACCAAGTACTCGAGCTGTTGGCGCAAGAAGAGGTCCTCGTACAGACCGCCCGTATCCTCAGGATATGCGGTTTGCAGGAGGGCGAGACGGGATCCGTTGAGGAAATGGCCGCCGTTCGCACATTTCTCAGCGCTTATCTCATTCTGGGCCACCCCACGCAGGTTCTGAGTAACAAGGACGGCACGGGGGATAGGGAACAGGTTGGATTGTCACAGCCTCAACCAATGCCCCGTAATGACCTTGCTAATCCACAGCTGCAGGACCTCGTGACGAAAGCCCGAGATCTCCTAATTTCTTTCGAGAACATCATGTCGCGTTTGACTGCAGCCAACAACTATACCCCCCCGCCGACTCTGCGTAGTGCACTGCCCGAGATCTACGCCACTTTCTTCAACGCGTTCCTTGCGTGGAAGTCTCGGGATTCGGAGTCTCTTGTTCAGTTGATGCTCTTGCAATTTGTTGAGCTGGACATGATTTTGCAGACGGTCCAGGAAAGCACCGAGGACGCGGCCGCAGAGCAATACCGAGAGAGCATAAAGAGCAATCAGGTTCAGCTCATTGTGCGGATAAAGAAGCTTGCTGGCCAGGAAAAGGGCAAGAAGATGATTGGCGATGCCGTTCGCAAGGCACGCAAGGCACGAGCCGCAAAGAAGCCCACTGGCGATATGAAGCCTCGCGTCGCCGAAAACGTGCCCGGAGAGGCTTCCGCTACTGCCGAAAGCCTTGTGTCGCCGGATTCGCAGACCTTGACACCGCCGCCAACGCCGGCCAAGGGCCATACCAAACCACAGCCCATAGAGATCAAGCCTGGATTCAGCGGCCTATTGCCCGATAACAGGATTGTCGTCCATGAGCTTGCCATTAACCGAGAATACCGCATCCCTTCAAGCGAATACCGGGAACACCATGCTGCCGTCCAGATACCCCTATTTGCGGGGATGAGAGCAAGCATGGAGGAAGACAATTTAGACGCTAGCTTTGCATATTTTGTCATCATGATGAGGTATCTGAAGGACAACCTGCAGCGGCTCGTCAAGCCCGGCGCCTACATGCACACAACAATAAGTGAGATTCTGGATGTTGAAGTGGCCGAGCGACAGTTCCAGATGGGGAGCTTCTCATATGAGAAGTTTTTCATTTCCATGGCAAACCTCTTGCCCAAGTTGTGCGCACCATTCCGCGACAACGAGGCCAAGGATCTAGTGGAAAACAAGCTTCAAAACGGGAGCCTGGTTGATCGCGTGGAAGCATTGACAGAATTTGTCGATTTCATGTTGTGCGACTACGTCAACTACATGTTCTCCACTGCAGCTCCTCAGTTGATTGAGTCTGCACCAGAGTATGAGAAGAAGAGATTTACTGGGGCACTTGAGAGCGGTGCACACGATTTGAGCGCGGCCGAGACGGCGTGGCGTTCTGCACGCTCCAAGGTTCTGGCGGAGGCTCGGAAGAGAGACCCGGAGGGCATCAATCACCCCAAGAATCGGCCAACGGACGACAAAATATACGCACAGCTGCTTGTCGACAGTTTCACGCAGCCGGCGCCAATCGCCGTTGACAAAGTACCCGAGATGTTGGGCTTGGACTACAAGCGCATGGTGCGGTTATCCCTGGCCTCGCAGCGGATTGTCACCACCGGGGCCATTTTACTGCAATGCAAGAACCTCCTCAAGCGGGACGTCCGCACGCCATGGAAGACGGAGGCGACGCGGATTACAGCGGTGCTTGAGGCAGATCACGACAATGTCGAATCGACAGTACAGGGCGTCATGGCGGCTCTAGAAGCGGGCAGGTCTATGCCAGCAGCAACCAAAACGCACCTGAAAGCCCTCGTTACCAAGGTGCTGAAGGCTAGCCAAGACTCGATGAAGAAGAGCATCGAGCCGACAGAGCCCGTGTTGCGGCTTCTCCTGGCCAGGCTCAGGGGCCACATGAACGCCAGGTTGACTGCTGGTTCAGCAAAGGAGAAGCTCAACGCGGCTACGACTGCGCATGAGAAGCTGGCGGGTCTTGGCCTGGCGGAGTTCGCGGTGCAGGTTCGGGAGATGCTAGACGAGATATCCAAGGTCGGAGCCGTCGACAGAGCGGCTCACGGATCGTGGTGGAACGAAGTCGCGGCCAAGGTGGCGGCGGAGGGAGGAGCGCCGGGGGCCAGCGCCAGTGCCAGCGCCGGCAGTTCGGCATAAGGTTGCAAGACGAAGAGCACGTGTGTATGCATGGTACGATATACGAGTAGAGGAGGAGGCATTCTTGAGGACTTTTCTCTTGACGACGTAATGATGTACTTGTTCGGGATCGAATGGGGGCAGGCGTTACGGTGTGGGATTGGCTGCTTTCGAGATCGTTTTTCATGGCATGGTTGGGACACATTGGATATCTTGTGAATTAGCGCGCTCAGAGTGTTGGGAGGGAATTTGTCTGGAGGCAAGGGAAGGGAAGCACTATAGGTAGGCATCGATCGTGTCTGACGATGTGTACCTTATACCAAGCGAACATTAGAGGGTTTGGCATGCAATAGCGAGAGAGGGCTTTATTATATACATTGAGCGTGGCAGAAGAAGAGCAACAACGATTCACATTACAGCTATATATCGTTTCAATTCGTTCTCACAAAGTTCACTTGAGACTGTGATATGATATTAATTGAACTTGGTTAATGTCCCTCATTCGTATCTCAAAGCTCACCTACCTTATATGGGGGCAGCCGTCCCAAGGTCATTTCGCTTGTCATCGGCGTTGAGCATTTCAACTTTTTTTTTTTTCCCGAGGGAACTTATGATTGAGCACAAGCCACCACAGCCTCGTACCACCACTGTACCAGTAGCAGCCAGCCCCGTTTTCTACCTAAACAGGCTAATTTCCGCGCCGAACCGTCCGAGTCGACAGGCTGTGTGACCTCCTGAGTCTGTCCCGTCCTCGTACAGAGATTTATCTACAAAGTATTCCAACCAACGTAAAGAAGGAATCGGTAGCGACGATGCACTGAGGCGATTGTCTGCGACCTGTCTCTTCAACCCGTTTCCTAGCTCCATAGTCCTTTCCATCGTCTGCGTTCAGTCTGCCCTGGGCGGACCGATCGACAGGATGAACCCGATAGGGCAGCTGGCCGGACGGACGTTTGGTCCTGCGGCGCGCGGTCTGGTCCGCGGCTGCTGTGTATCTGTACCACTACCATCACTTCTTGTAACACCAACAACATCATCTTTGGGCTCAACGGCGCCGTCTTCTTTTTCTTCATCATCCTTGTACAACATTGGCTTCAGACGCCACTTTTCGATTACTTCTGTCTTCAAGGCAGCAGCTTCCACTACGTCTACGTCTAATGCTCTCTGGTCTTCAGCTCCCACTGTTGGACGGATTGCTCGCGATGCCTTCGTTGCGAGGTAAGTTTGTCTGGTCTGCCTTCATTTGGTTCCAAGGTTCCCTTTTGTTAGATGGTCATCTTTCTATCTGTTGGGGCCTTTGCATTTCCCCAAAAGGACCCTCATCTCGGATGGCAAAGGTCTAGTAGACCTTGCCTTACTTTACCTTACTCTTTGGTAATGGAACAGCAACGATGAAAGAAACGGGCACTTCCTGGGCTGCCTGTACCGGAAGGTATTAGTGGCCTGCGCGCACCCGTGGACCAAGTCGAGCGTAGCGGCGCCTTTCTGTGGTGGGCAGAGCACACTCCACGCTTACCTCACCTCATGAGTGGACAGGAGTGGACAGCCCCAGAACGCAGGAGAGCTACCAGCTTGACCCATGCAGGGACCTTTTGTGTGCCCCTCGTTGCCCCTCACCTCGGAGCATCACCATTGATCCACCCCGGAACTCTCTCCTTCACCTTGATCAAACCCACAACCATACGGACACCTGCCTCAGTAGCAGTACCTGAGAGTCTACTGCCACGCGCCAGTCGTCCCATTTGCCGCTTGCTGCTTTGTTCATAATCCCAAGTAGGAAGGCACTCTCTTGTGGAGCTGGTACAGCTTCTACTCTGATCGAATCCATTACACTACTCTTCTTTTTTTTTATTACTTCCGCCTCCCTACAACTGCTACCACCTTACTCTTCTTTCCTCTTCTTCCGTCCTCCCATTTTCCTGTTATCCCCCTTGTCTTACTACTCCTCTTTGCAGCCTACCTTTAACCACCCCAAGAGTACAACACTGACATAAAACTCGCCTCGCGGACAAATAGCTACCGCCGACCTTCTTCTTCCTTCCCCGCACCCGTTTCCCACCGCAACTACTGCTCGACAATCACCACTTCCGACAAGGCACTGTACGCCAGCAGAGTCGGCAACATGGCTGATCGCGAAGTTCTCCCCGAGTCGATTCGGCCCTCCCACTATGTCCTGTCACTCCGTGACCTCAACTTCAAGGACTGGACTTACAAGGGAACCGTGACGTAAGGATACACCCTACCCCTCACCCCGCCCGAGCTCCGAGCTTCAGCTTCAGCTTTAACTTCAGCTCCAACAAGCACATCAAAGACAATCCCGCCATGCTAACCTCTTGATTGCGCTCCACAGCATCGACGCCGAGGTTGTCAAGCCTACCAAGGAAATCGTCCTCAACGCCCTCGAGATCAAGCTGCTCAGCGCAAAGATCGCTGTCGGCCACACCAAGTCGACGCAATCATGGGAGTCCACCAACTTCAGCTATGGCGAGAAGCAGCAGCGCGCTACCGTCACCTTTGACGAGGAGATCCCCCAGGCGCAAAAGGCTGTTTTGACCATTGAGTTTGAGGGCATCATCAACAACGAGATGGCTGGTTTCTACCGCAGCAAGTACAAGCCCGCCGCCGAGCCCGCCAAGTCTGTACCCCGCGACGACGAGTGGCACTACATGTTCAGCACACAGTTCGAGTCTTGCGACGCCCGTCGGGCCTTCCCCTGTTTCGATGAGCCTAACCTCAAGGCCACCTTTGACTTTGAGATTGAGATCCCCGAGGACCAGGTGGCACTCAGCAACATGCCCGTCAAGGACACTAAGAAGACCAAGGAGGGCTGGCAGCTGGTTTCCTTTGAGACCAGCCCCAAGATGTCCACATACCTCCTCGCCTGGGCTGTTGGTGACTTTGAGTACGTCGAGGAGTTCACCGAGCGCCGCTACAACGGCAAGCAGCTCCCCGTCCGTGTCTACACCACTCGTGGCCTCAAGGAGCAGGGCCGTTATGCTTTGTGGCACGCGCCCCGCATCATCGACTTCTTCTCTGACATCTTCGGCATCGAGTACCCCCTGCCCAAGGCCGACCTGTTGGCCGTACACGAGTTCACCCATGGTGCCATGGAGAACTGGGGTCTTGTCACTTACCGTACTACCGCCGTGCTGTTCGACGAGAAGACGTCCGAGGCCAGATACCGCAACCGCGTCGCTTACGTTGTTGCTCACGAGCTGGCTCACCAGTGGTTCGGCAACCTGGTCACCATGGACTGGTGGGATGAGCTGTGGTTGAACGAGGGTTTCGCCACCTGGGTTGGATGGCACGCGACGGACTACCTGCACCCCGAGTGGCAGGTTTGGTCTCAGTTCGTTAACGAGGGTATGGAGATGGCCTTCAAGCTTGATGGTATCCGAGCCAGTCACGCCATCCACGTGCCTGTCAAGGACGCCCTTGACGTCAACCAGATTTTCGACCACATCAGCTACCTCAAGGGTTGCTCGGCCATTCGCATGCTCGCCAACCACCTCGGTGTCGAGACCTTCCTCAAGGGTGTCTCCAACTACCTGAAGGCCCACCAATACGGCAACGCCAAGACCAAGGCGTTGTGGGATGCTCTCACCGAGGCGTCCGGAAAGGACGTGAACAAGCTCATGGGCCCCTGGATTTCCAAGATTGGCCACCCCGTTCTGACTGTCGCCGAAGAGCCTGGCCAGATCTCCGTCAAGCAGTCTCGTTTCCTTTCCACTGGTGATGTTAAGCCCGAGGACGACGAGACCACCTGGTGGATTCCTCTTGAGATTGAGGGCAAGGTCGGCACCAAGGGTGTCACCTCCCTGTCTCTCGAGAAGAAGGAGGACACGATCCGTGATATCGACACCGACTTTTACAAGCTCAACTCTGGGTCTTCCGGTTTCTACCGTGTCAACTACCCCCCTGAGCGTCTCCTGAAGCTCGGACAGCAGCTTGATCGCCTCACCACCGAGGACAAGATTGCCATTATCGGCTCCTCCGCCGACCTTGCCTTTTCTGGTTACGGCACCACCGCAGCTCTTCTGTCCTTCGTCCAAGGCTTTGCCAAGGAGGACAACTACCTCGTGTGGAGTCAGGTCCTTGACTCTATCGCCCTTGTCAAGTCCATCTTCAGCGATGATGAGACCATCAAGAAGGGTCTGGAGACCTTCACACTGAAGCTTATCAACGACGTTGTGGCGAAGATGGGGTGGGAATTCCCCGAGGGCGAGAGCTACCTTGACGGACTTCTCCGCAAGAGAGTCCTCCTGACTGCTGGTGTCAACGGCCATGCTGGGTAAGTCTGATAACATCATTGATAAAATCGGTATGAGTACTAACAACCGTAGCGTCACCGAGGAGGCTACCAAGCGCTTCAACGCCTGGGTCGAGTCACCCGAGTCTAACCCCCTGCACCCCGCCCTCCGCACGCCCGTCTTCCGCGTCGCCATCAAGAACGACACGGCCCGCGCCGTCGAGGCCTTGAAGAAGGAGTGGTTCACTACCCCTGCCATCGACGGCAAGGAGATCTGCCTCTCCAACCTTGGTTTCGTCCGTGATGAGGCCATTATCAAGGACAACCTGCTTCCCTTCCTCTTCAACAAGTCCCCGCCCGCCCCGGCTTCGGACTCCGTCCCGTCCGCCGACATGCACTCCCTTGGCTCCGCCCTCGCCGGAAACTCTGTCGCCCGCCAGATCCAGTGGGACTACGTCAAGAACAACTGGGAGGCCTGCCTCGCCAAGCTCGGCAACCCCATTGTCGTTGACCGCTTCATCCAGGTCTCCCTGGGCAAGTTCACCGACTTTGAGTCCGTCAAGGACATTGAAGCCTTCTTCGCCGACAAGGACACAAGCGCTTTTGCCCGTACCCTCGAGACCGTCAAGGACAAGGTCCGTGGCCGCGCCGCATACCGCGAGCGTGACGCTGCTAAGCTGAAGGAGTGGCTTGTCGCCAACAAGTATGCGTGAATTGATGGGGATGAAATGACAACAACTGGAGGAGTACAGAAAGGGAATATTCCGGCCAAGTTGTAGTTTAGTAGCTATAGGATGCTGGCTTTTGTGGAAAAGCAAAAAAAATCAATCATCACTTATGCTGTTACGTCTGTGGCCTTTCGTTCGTGTGTCTATTGATGCAATTTTAAGCGATGCGATGTCAATGTCTTGCTAGTAGCCCTCTTGCCTTCGAGGGCAGCTGAAAAGCAGTGAACACCACACATCCGTGGTATATACCAACCAAACCACGATGACCAAGGAGCCACCCTCTGACTTTGACCGCCTCATCACCTATGGGTGGCCAAAAATTGCATTGGAATGAATAACCTGCCCGATGACCAGCGGAATCCAAGAGCACTGGTCTCATCTTCAGAACCCCCCCCCCCCTCCCCCCTTTTTTTTTCCCACCCACTTCCGTTTTCAATACAGAAAGCCAGCTATACGAAGAAGAATCGAGATGTTTATTTGGGCAATATAGCACTTTTCATTATTTATACACCCAAGACGCCCAGAAAAGCAAGTTATGCTTACAGCTAGCTAAGCCTGCTTTCCTCGGGTCCTGTTCCTCGAAACCTAATGTACGCTTTTGCAAAGAAAACCTCAAAAAAACTCTGGAAGAAGAACAAAAAAAAAAAAACAACAACACAAAAGCCCATCCATCATGAAACCACTCCCCCGGAAGGGGAATTTCCATGAGAGGGCTTAGATTAGCCCAACCAACACCCCGTTCAAACGCCGAAACCCGTGCAAAATCATGCATATCTTTTCATTCCATACACCTCCGCCCTCGGCATTCTTTCTCGTTTGGTCGTTTCCAGTCAGACTGCGGCTGTATCACAGTGGAAGAGAGATTTGGTTTCTGGTTTTCGGATCGTAGACTAATCAAACATGTACACGTATCGTGCAGGCCAGGTGGATGTTTGCATCAGCCTTGGAACGCAGCGCGGCGGAGATTTTGCATCATCCTCTCGACGAGGGCCGTTGAGTCCGCAGGCACATCGGGCAGAGGGACGTCGCCCTCAGGAGTTTGATGGGGCGGGGGTAACGACGGCTGCGCTTGCATTTGGTGTTGTTGTTGCGGTGGTGGTGGTGGCTGCTGCTGAGGATTCTGCTGTTGATAATGCTGTTGGTATTGCTGTAGCGGAGGATGCTGGTGATACTGCTGGTGATGTTGAGGCTGCCACTGTCCCGGCGGGGGCGCCCGAGCTTGGGGCTGCTGTGAGTGCTGCTGCGTCGGTCCCCAATTGAAACCATGGTTCTGGTAGCCTGGCATGGCAGCTGTCTGCGGCGGAACTGGCGACGGTATGGACTGATGGGAAGGTGCTGTAGGCGTCGGCGGATTCACGCGCGGGGTGAGGGCAAATTGGGCCAAGAGCTCCGCCGGGTTGAGATGCTCAGTCCGTGGTCGGCTCGCGGGAGGGAGCGGTTGGGTCGAAGGCATGTTGTAAGCCTGGGGTTGAGACTGTGTAGGCTGTCGAGGGAACGCCGTAGTCATCGATTGATTCGTAAAGGGCATTCGAGAGGTTGGAGCCGGCACTGGCGTGTGCGGTACCGACACGGAAGCTTGAGCTACAGAAGGCGCCGTCTCCGTCGTTGGGCCAGCTGATTTTGACGCTTGAGAAGGCGTTTGCGCGGAAGAGCCATTGACGGCTGCCGTCGATGTGTCCTGGGTTGCATCCTTCCCCGGGTGCGAAGCCGGGGGTAGGTTCGTACCTTGCACAGACGCACTGGTTGATTTCGAACTGGCCTTGGATGGAGTAGCAGCCGAAGGCATCTTGCTCATGGCCGCGAGATACTTGGCCGGGAGGGGAACCGGTGTCTGCTTCTCGGGGATCTATTATTGAATCAGCTTGGACTTGGTCTACTTCTGGAAATATGATGTATTACGTGGTCATACCTTGTACTGCACCTTCGGCACAGCGGGCTTTGCTGTATGCTGAGGTTTCGTTTGGGTAGATTGAGGCTGGCTGGCAGGAGACTGTTGCGGAGTCTGCTGTGGAGTCTGCTGAGGGATAGGCTGTTGCGAGGGTTGATGTTGTGCTGGTTGAGGATGCTGAGGTTGCTGCTGTTGTGGCTGATTCGCCCAACCTCCGTACTGCGGCCGGATCGCCGGGTGTAGCGGCGCCGATTGTGGTTGCTGCGCATGCCAACCCTGACTTTGACCATGCGAGCTGGGTCGAGAGCTACCCGGCGCAGGGGACGGAGATATCGATGAGTAAGACGGCGTCCTGGCGTGATTCTGGGAGATCTGCGGCGCTGGTGAAGAATAAGAGGCCGCTGTTTTGACACCATACATCCCAATGGAGCCTTGAGGCATCACATTCGTCAGTGTATTGTGGTATGGACCGCCGTAAGCAGGTCCCTGCGGACCCGTATTCGGAGCGGGTGTCGGTGTGCCTCCCTGAACGGAGCCTTGCCGGTTCTTGAAGAAGGCTTCTGGAGACGTCCTCATGAGGTGAGCTCGCAGGTTACCTTCATATCCGTTGGTGAACCCTCCCCATGGAGCATAAGGAGTTCGGTACGTCTTCGAGTCTCTACGGAGTGTGTGAGTATCATTCACAAAGTTGCTGGGGTTGGAAAAATCTGACCTATTGTGGTGAACCTGGAAGAATGCATATTTCATAGCAACAGAAGGCGTTGGGGCGGCAGAGTATCTCCGATGGTTCTGCTGAGTTGAGCCTTGCGAAGTACTGTGTGGTAAAGGAGGTCTGGAGTTCTGTGATGGCGTCGACCACGTTTGTTGCGCGGGCCGCGCGCCGACTGCAGATTGCGGTCCCGGGGTGCTATACGGGCTTGGCCGTTGCATCGAGTTCGGAGCCGCGTAATAATCCTGCCCAGCTGGAGCGGGACGAGGTACATACTGTTGATGCACATCAGGAGCAAACTTCTGTTGAACAAATTGGGTCCCGGGGATCGGGTATCGAGGATCAGCTCCGAAGTGGAGCTGCTGTCCTCCGGGAGTCGGGGGCGCAGAAGCCTTGGGTGTGAATTTTTGTGTGGTGAAAGAGCCGGTACCAGCGTAGTTGGTTTCGACAGGTTTCCTGGGCTTATATACGTACGGTTTCTCCGATTTGGGCCCATTCTGAACAGCGACTCCGGGCGTAAACACTGGCAATGGGGCTGGTTGCGGTGGAACGACTGACACCCTGCGATGCGACGTGCTTGCAGAAACAGGCTTGGGAGGCTTGGGAATGGTGTCTAGGAAGTTGCTCTTGGGATTGTGCAGCTGCTTGGCGGGATCCTCGGAGTACTGTGCCTTCGCCTCCGTCGACGTCTTGCCAAGATAGTGCCAGACTTGGCTGTCCTTCGACAGGTCAACTTTGGTCTGGTTTGGATTAGTACACTCGTTGCATGGATGGAACTCTGCCCATGTGTAGCCTTCAACAAAGGGAGCATCTTTTCGGGGGATTTCATCAGCAGGGCGCTTCGCATTGAGTCGTTCCTTTGCCTTCTGTGATGATGGCATCGGGATAGCCTTGGAAGACGCCTTTGGAAGGTGGTAGTCAGATGGGTCGGGCAGTAGAAGCCACTTCCACTCAACCTCGAGACGATCACTAAAGCACGTCAGACTTTGTTCATCAAAGTTGTTGGATGAGACATACCCATTAGGAATGATATCAAGGAGCAACATCTGCTCATCGGCGCGATTCTCAACCACGACACCGGCAAAGATGTCGCCTTTGAAGTACTGCAACTGGCAGATGTCGCTCTCGCTGAGTGCTGCCGCAGCCTCGCGGATCCGCACATCATCCTCCAAGGAGTCACCAGTATGTTTCCTATCACGCTTGGTACGATGGAAGCGACAGCTAAACTCGAACGCTTGCTCCTTGTACTCGGTTCCATCTTCGCCAAAGACTGGGACTTCGGCTTCTTCGACAAAGACACCCGCGGCAGCCGCACATGTGGCGTGGTAGGCCCGGGCACACTTCTTCTGGGAGCACTGGAAGCAGGCACCCTTTTTGGAACGACAATAGAGACACTTGAGATCCAGACGTTCCTTGTTGATGTTGGCAACATTCGCAATGACCTCCTTGTCGTCGACGGTATCGATATAAGTCTCGGGTAGGTATAGCGCGCACATCCGATGGGCCTTGCGGCCATCGTCTGTTGACAGGACTTCTGCACCAGGGATATCGCTGGGGCAAAGGCAGCACGTCGGCTCTGCGCGCGTCTTAACCTTGAGACGAATTCGCTTGGTCTTTGCTTTGCCTTGTTTGTCTCCAGCAGCGCGCTTTCGTTTGCGAGCCGACTTAACAATACCGTTGCTACCAGGAGGAGACGGAAGGCCAGTAGCGTCGTCTTCATCCTCATCCTCATCATCCTCTTCATCTTCTTCATCAGTTTCCTCGTACTCAGGAGTCGGCTCGCCACGGAGTTTCCGTTCGATATCGTATACGTCAACCCACACACTGTCTTGCGCCTGTGCGCACTCGCAACGTTTGGCGATCTTGCCCATGGGAAGCCAAGAGTCGAGCGCAAAGTTGACAGCCTCGGCGCAGTTGTAGCCCAAGTTGTATCCAGAGTGGTATCCGTAAGGATAGGTAACGACGAATTCGCCCGGATACGAAACGCACTTGTTGACGGTAATATTGTAGTGCTGCTTGAGATGCGATGGGGAAATCAAGAATCCCTTGTGGCGAAGGAACTGGTCGCAAGCCTTGGCATCCGTGGGCCAAATGTTCTTCATGGCAGCCTCGAAACGGCGGGCGTCAGCTTGTGAAATGCTGTACCATTGTTTGGGGGCGCCAAAGTGGAGATAGTTGATGCTGTAAAGATCAACGTCCTCCAAGTGCCATGCGAAAGTGGCTTTCCACATGCCCAAGTAGAGGTAAGCCGTGTTTACACCGGGAACCTTTGTTCCGAGGACATCCAGCAGGTTGGGAAGCTTGTTCAAGTTCCACATTTCTGTCGATTCGTCGAAGAGAGTCCCCATTAGATCTGCGCCGTACAGCGGCGGGGCGTACGTGAGGGTTTTCCAGTAGATCCTCTCGAGTTCCTCACAGCGCTCAGGGGTATAGTCAGAGACATCCATCTGGTAGTCAAAGTCTTCGAATGCCTTTTCGTCAATCATAGCGGAGCCTTCCCTCTTGCTGTACTTCCGACGGGCCGAAACAGTCTGGGTCTTTGGCTTCGCTTGTCTCGCGCCACCCATCCGACCCATTCTGCCAACGGTTGGTGGTTCATCTTCGTCGACATCCAGTCCCGGGTCTTCCACAGAGTCGACGACTTCCTCTTTTTTGACCTTGAGCTTGACATCCGCATCTGCAGCCGGCTTAGGGGAGACGGGCGTCATCGGTCGCTTCTCTTCCTCCTGTTCTTCTTCGGCTTCGTCATCGTCATCCTGGTTCTTGCCCTTGGCCTTACCCCGGCGCGGTCGACCTCGGCCCCGCTTTCTTGACCCGGCCGGAGTTGATTTCGCTTCTGTACGAGGTTTGGGGGCAGATCGGGGTTTCGGCTTTTCGACGTTGGCTCGGCGCTCGCCTCGCCGCGCTGGGGGCTGATGTTCGCTCTGGTCGCAAAGTTGTCGCCACTGTGGGAGGTTGTAGGATCTTTGATGAAGAATATTGACTTGGCGATAGGTTCCATTCGATCCCATGATGTCTTGCTTAATTGGTTCTCTGACTCGGATCTGCTTCACCAGGTCGTCGAGTCGGGGGAGGTTTTCTTTCCACTCGGGGGGAGGGATAATCTTGACGATGCCGGACTTCATCCCATAATGATCGACTTTGGTCATCTACAGTCACGGTCACAGTCAGCCGATGAAAAGACACGGGGACAAAGGGCACGAAGGGAAGTGGCATGGGCGTACGAATAGCTTGAAGTCCTTGAACTGATGCATCGTGGGCCTGAAGACAGGGACAGTCCCGGACCAGTGGTCGGGAAGGACTTCGCCAATGTCGTCCTCGGGCGGCGGCGCCTCATCTTGGGTCGTAGGAGCAGCAGATGGATCAACAGCATCGTCGTCTAGATCGCTGAGCTCAGAGTCGCTGGCTTCCGACTTGGGCGCATTGTTGCTGTCGGGGGGTGAGTGGAGGAAGGCGGGCTTTGCACATTCAATCTGGCCAAGGGTCGGCTCCTCGTCGTGGTCACCAGTCGTGGATTGCGCCGGCACAGGTGCAGGCTCCGAGACTGGAGCGCTGACAGCGTCGGTCGACATCGTGGAGGGGACTACATGCGACCGTTGATGCGCTGGGAATTTTCTGCCTCGCACGTCGTCAAGATGGTTTGTGTCGGGAGGGTGCGCAGGCTTGGTGTATTCAAGTCGCCGAAAATATGAGGTGCAGACGTCTGGTTGAGTGCGGAGAACAGATTCGTTCGGTTCTTTTGGTTATCAGATCCTGCGGGGGACTGGCCACTGTAGAGTATTCGAAGAGGGAGCGGCAGGACTGAGGAAACTGCGTCTGGCTGGGCTGGCTCGCTAAATGGGCCGATTTTTGGCGGATCTGGGCTGATGAACCAGGGCTGGCGCAGGCAGGGCGGAAGTTGCACCTCCCAAGGTTGACGATTACTGTTAGGTAAGGAAGGGAAGGCAGGTGCGGTCGGCAGTCGTGCACCGCACCTGGCAAAATAAATCAGCCTACTAAAGACAAGGGCTTTTACATTAAGGTGAGCAATAGAGTACCGTACCTATTCGTCGGCTGATGAAAATCTTCAAGGTATTGAGGGTACTCGAAAGGGCAGTGGCCTTTGCTCCTTTAGTTTTTTCTTTCTTTTTCTTTGGTTGCAAAGAGCCAAAAACCAGAGGTGTCGGGTCGAGAAAGAGCTGCACCATCAGGCAGATGCGGCTGCGGCTGCGGATGCTGTTACCTCACTTGCGCGATGGCTGCTTGCTGTGGGGGAAGTGGGTGGTTCAGGTACGGAAAGTGCGCGGGCACCTCACCTTCCAATTTTCAGCATCCGACAGGGCAGGCAAGTGGGCAGTGCTGGCGACCCCCTTCACTCTTTTGCCTTCGTACCTTCCAAGTTCCGTCTCTTCCCCTTGACCTCCAGTTCCTCGCTTCCAAGGTCCGCACTGATTAGATCTGCGCTAGTCCCGACTGAGGAGGTTCCCCTGTGCCTTAGGCACGCGAGGCAAATGCAGAATCCGGCACCGGAGTGCAGGGAAATGACGTCGCCACGTGAGAGCAGGTCGAGTCTGCAACCACAGTGAAATTGTTCTCGCCGGCGCATCTGATCGCGAGTTATGCGCGCAACTTGGCTCATAATTACCATCGTATTAGCAGTTCATCAGCTATGAGTGTACTGTCAGATTCGGTATTTCGATGGCTTCATTCAAGTTGCGCAGCTCATTAGAGCATCCAATGGTTTCGGATCCTGTGGAGCTGGGTTACTTTGCAGTGCAAGCTATCGCCCTTTTGTGTCTCAGCGTGTATTTCTTCTTCTCCCTGACGTTTACCGTTATAAAGGTTGTAAATCCGCAAAACGTTGCAGGTCCCTGCCGTTGACTGGTCTTTGGTGTTTGGAGATGCTGTCACTCACGGCAGGGCGTAATAGCGAACGGTGCCAGGGGAACATCGCGCCAGGAACGTAATCGTGAATCGTTCCCCCTCCTCAAAAGCTTCGACCAATGGAGAGAAGCATCAAGATCTGATAATCTCGCATGGCACCTGGAGTTCCAAAGTCTCCGGGGGGTGTGGTGTGACCCATCCAGCCCTATCGGTCGAGAGCATCCGCCGGCCGGCAGCGGATCGTCCGATGATCCAATCTACGGAGTACCCTGGCCTGGCTGCTCGGCGGAGGAAGCGACCTGAGGTAAGGTAGGGGAGAGGGGCTGCCGAGAGGAATGGCTGGCTCCCGTCCGCATCACTGCCCGCGATAGCTCGACTTTCACCAAAAGCTCCCCAGTGAGCTTAATCAGTTGGAGGACTGCTCATGTTGATAATGGTATCGAGTCTTGTCGGGAATGATGATCGTTCCCAAGTCCCCAAGTATCTATGGCCATGGGCATTATTGTGTGAGCCCCTTATCGGACTGCGCCCGACTAAGGTAGAGTCCAGCATCATCAATCGACTCCGCACTCTCCACGGTGTGTGAGGGGCGAGGAAGCTGGAGCCGCGAAGATCAGAGTTGCAGAGCCCCCCACATACGTCCCCGACCATGGGGGAGGGGGTTGACTCGAGTCCTGGACGAACGTGGACTTGGGCTTCCTCGAACGAGGTCTTTGATTCAACATCTGTTCCGTCATAACAAGACGCCGACTAGATATATCCTTGGTGACTAGGTTTCCTGCGATGCTCGTCAATATTGATTTCTCGTGATGGGAGCCATATCTTGCCTTGAAACTCCAGACTTCAAGCACCACTCGTGGATACTGATGCTGGATCTGCTCCATTGCCTATGAATGACCTCTTTCGGACCCTTTCAAGATACCGATCAAGACCGCCGTTGACGCTGTTCGCAAGCCGACCTATTGCGCAGCGTGGGCACGCGGCTCGAAATATCAATTGCTCATCATGAGCCATCAAGGTTCTCATTGTCAACATAGTTTTGACCTGACATCACTGAGGGTGATGGCGGCCCCAGCTGCAAAGAGTCTCCCGCTCAGTCGAATGTTGTGAGTGACAGGGTTGAATTTGGTTCGGCAAGAAAGTATGAGGGGATATTGGTTGCAAAGCACGTCTGAGGGAACCAATACACTAAGTACCCGTGCCTAGCTAGGTAGGTATGTTGGCCGTTGTTGGTCTCACTCCATGCCTGCCAACCCCCAAAGGTATCATACCTTCCCATCACCTTGCCTGAGATGAGGTGAGGTACCCTTATCTTAGGCACTCGTCAGTCACACTGGAGTAGAAAGTAGCCCATAGCAACGTGCACGTCTCACAGCAGAGGCAAAGCCGGCAGATAATCCATGACTGGTGTAACGCGCCAACAAAGCTTCTCTCATTCAGCTCTGATGTCTCTACCTCAGCAAACAAATCACACAATAGTACCACCTGGATTGATAAACTCTTCTGACCACCGTTTGACGCCAGTAAATCTCATAGCCCTTTTCATTACGGGGTGGAAGAAAATGACGTGTCTGATATACCGTCATCAAAGTAAATGTTCAAAAACCCCGCCTCTGGCTAAATGCGACTGCCAGAAGAATGTACAATATGATCGTGCTTCGTAAAAATAAGAAAAGGTTCTATGCGTCTCTTTCTCTTCCCAAACCCCTCGATCCTCCCTCCGGCAGGTTTGCTGTACAACGTTGCCGATACGCCATGCAAGAAGTTAAGAATTTTATAGAAGAGACATATGTGAATAGAGGGTGCCCCGCTGAGCAGTCGTGGAAACTTATCCAGAATTTGGAATTGGTTCACGCGGTGCGGAGATGATTCGATCCAAGGCCGATCAACTCGAACATGATTGGGATGAGGCCGACGCCCAGCCAAGCAATACCTGTCGGCATCTGTCAGCAAATGTGGAGAAAGGTCGGATCTTGCGGAAGAGGGATGGAGCTCTACCTGTATAAACGACCAGCTTGGTCACCACCTCGACATCGTAGCGCACTCGTGGGCGGATGAGTCGAAGGAACATTTCCTTCTCACTCATCTCATCTTGTTGGCCGACTCTCAACTCCACCTCGCCCTTCTCCTCGCTCGGGCTCGCCAGCACGCTCCCCGTACCCATCATGCGCTCAAAGTCGTTTAGCGAGTTGCTGTGGTGGCCTTGAACACCAGACGTTGCTCCCTTCCCTTCCCAGTCGCTGCTCTTCTCTCGAAGCTCGTGCATGCTGCCCTTGCTTTTGATACTACCATTGCTGCCGATGCTCTCCCGACGTCGTCGCTCGCGGTATGCGAGTGTCTCGTATGCATCGGCGGCACTCTGTGGTCCGATCGATACTGAGCGACCACGCGTTGTCGGATGACGAATGGACTGGACTACGCGGGGTAAGTCTCTGACGTTGGGAATAAGCGTATCCATCCTCGAGCCCGGGTCAATGGACTTGTACATGGATGCTGGTGTAAAGAAACGTCTGGGAAGATTCCACTCGACCTTCTCCAGGAGACGGAAAAGGTGAGGCAGAACTCTCAGCATGGTAGGTTTCATGACCTCTCGCCATAGAAGGATGACAACTACGCCGAATACAACACGAGCCAGCACAATGTGCCAGCCCAGCGCGTTGAGATCAATGGATTCAACGGTATGGGCAGATCCTCCGAACGAATCGATTGAAGTCCGCCCATACATCCATGTTCCGATCTCCAGGCCAATTACGACTCCAGCAAAGGCTACACTGTCGTCGAAGCAAGGGCAGTCGTCCGCTGGCTCCGGGTGTATTCTCACGAGAACAATGACGACGAGAGCAGCGATAACGGGCGCCCACCATGAGCTGCTGTGCATGTACGCGTCCAGCGGCGGGCCGTAGTGGAACTCGACAAGAGAGATTGCAGCACCCAAGACCGAGCCCACGATGACGTCGATGAAGCCATGCATACCACAATACAGTCGGCCGAGAATGATAGAAATGGCATAAAAGTACGACAAGCCCTCGAGGACGGTCTTGGTCGTCTCTGGCATGGCGTTCTCAGGGCTCCGCAGGAGCAATACTGCGTACACAGCCACTGACACGGCGTTGGCGCTATGTGTCGAAGGGAAGCCATATTCTAAGGCAGCAGATCCGGACATGGTGATTCGATGCAGTGGCGGGGACAGCGGTCTGGGTAGGGAGAAGAAGTCCTTGATAAAGCCGGTGAAGAAGACGCCCTCGGCCAGGATGTGAATAACACTGTGAGGCCGCAGCTAGTTAGATAGGCTCTATATAACTCTACACGGCGATTCTTGCTTACCCTTTGCCGAAGGAGGCGTATCCACACCAGAAGAGCATGGGTAAACCGATCATGAAGAATGTATGGGTACCGAGATTGGCCGTGATCGCAAAGTAGCTATCGAGCCACGGGGTGCGCATCGTTTCCTGCAGATAAGCCAGGTAGGGTGTTTCCCAACGTATCAGTGGCAGCAGTGACTGTCGCAGTCGATATCGCCATGGTGGCAGCGCTCTCTTGTCTGTGGACAGGCATCGTCAGCTCAAGGCTTGGAGGCTTGCGTACGGGCAAGGTATTTGGGGCTCTTGTCAATGCGCCAGGCTCAAGACATGAGCGATAGCAAGAAAGGCAAGGTTGGGAGAGTGTAGCAGCGTACAGTGATCGAGACTTCTAAGGCCCGCATCGGGGGCATCGCTGGGGCTCTTGACTACGATCAGAGGCGGGGCGGGGGCGTCGGCGACAGCAGCTGGGACGGCAAGCTTTGGATTCGCAAGGGTAGCGTCCGGCAGGGTATTCGGCGCAGATGCGGCGCCATTGGTATGGCTAGTCATCGGGCGATGTCTGAGGTTGTGGTCGTGAGGCATACGGCCATTCGTATTCTCGTAGTGTGATTTGGTTCTCTTCGAATTGTACTCGGTGTACGTGGTGCGTATTCGCGGGTAGATTCGCAGGCTCGGAGGGGGTGAGGGAAGTGTTCGGTGTAAGGCGTTTGAGGTGGAGGGGAAGCAGATGCAATTGCTCGAAGGGTTGGCGAGCGACTGGGCATCTGGGGGCGGTGAATTCGCTGGGACGCCGAGGAACGAGCGATGCGGTTGCTGGGAGAGCGTACGGGATCGCCAACGACTGGAATATTGTGAGTATGTCGCAGGAAGCGAGGTTTGGCGTCAAGGTTGTGGGAGGAAAACGATGAGAGTGCAGGGGAAATTTGCAGGTGCAGCAAATGGATGGTAGTGGGATTGCGATGTTGCGTTCGCGCCACAAACGGGCGTGGGAACCTGTAACTGGAACTCGAACTGGAACCGCTGAAGTGGTGTGTTGTGTTGGGCAAGGTACCTTTACTTGACTTACCTCGAGGTACTCCTCAGACGATGTACCTTTCTCTTGGGCGGTTAGGTGCTCTTGGGATGCCGGATGAAGCACTTGAGGTGATTAACCTTTTGTGTCTTCCATTCTTTTTCAATACTGGGCCACCTCGGGAGACGATAGGAAACCACCAGAGAGGTCCTCTTGAACGGCACAACGGGTCTACTGAAGAAAGAAGGAAAAAAGAGACAATGAATCTGGCACGGAAGGGTCCCGCGCTAAGGTAGCGCTACGTTGTGTCAGGCGTTACGAACACCTCATGGAAAGATGGAAGCATCTCAGCTGGATCGGTACCTGACAGCAACACTACCTTACCTACCTACCCACTCCGTACAGTGACAGATAAGAGACACCAGTGACCACTGCACCCACCCACCATCCGAGGCTGCTCGCCCTTGGAATCGACAACGGCGGGGGCGCTCGCCTTAGCTCTCTCCAGCATCCAGGTCGCCAATAAGGTACCTAAGGCAGGTAGGTACCTTGAGCTTTCACTTTCGCAGGCTTCGGGTACTTTGTTCAATGGAATGTCCCTCGTACCTATTATGTGGACCACCTCGCCAGCGAGATTCCCCATTCCCCGGCATTCTATTGTACCCATCACCAACACCACTTACCTCCCTGTCTTACATCGATCGCACAGGTAAGTACCTTCAGTAGGTAGGAAGGAAAAATTCCACTCGTCCACCGATTGATCTTCCAATATCCAACTCGACATACAATGTCTCGCAAAGACCGCGAGATAAACCACGGACACAAGGGCACGAGACCATGGACCTCGACTCGGTCTTTCTCTTCTTCTCGTCATGCACCAGAAGGAGTGGAGTCTACTGGTGGCACGTCGTCAACGGACGGGCGTCTGTCTCACCATCAAAGAGCTTGAATATGAGATGACGAAGAGATGTATGAATAGAGGAAATGGGGCGGGAGCAAGCAAAGTAACCACCAAGCCTCGGGATCAGATTCCTCCTTCTCTTCTCCCCCCTCCTTCCAAGCAATGCCATTCAGCAGCCAAAGTGTCAGACAGGAAAGAGCCACCAGGACCACCCCGAATAATGCCATTGTAACGCGCGCACACAGACACCAACGGCCGTCCAAGCTAACCTCACCTCCAACAAGCATCTCCCCAGAATCAACAGCTTTCGCTCTCGTCTCATCCTGTCTTGGTCTAATCCTCTATGCGCTAGCTACCATCTTTCGCCAGAGGGGGGGTTTTCAGATGTCCAAGACCATTCCGCATTTGCATTGAACGAGTCCGAGGGCCCCTTCTTTCTGCCTTTCGAGAACACGACACTCTGACCTCACTGGCCTTTGCTTGTCGTCACTCTCGTTGCTCTCCTCTCATCAATACCCAGAGACTTAACTGTAAGTGCCCTTGTAGTGCCTCAGGTTACTCCGAGTACCTACCAAGCTAAGTACCAAGTGTAAGGTAGACGGGCAAGGGCGAGCAACGGGGTGCCTCTTCTAGAAAGGTTACACGGAGAATGCCATGCAGAATACAACGACACACCCCCACCAAAATTCTAGGCTCAGGCATCTAGCATCCTGGACATTCTACGGCATCCACAAGTCCAAAGCTTCGAAGCTCCAGAGCTCTCTTTCCACATACCTCACCCAACCGTTAAGCTGAACTCTTTGATCCTCGCCGACGAGCTCCATCGTACTCAAACACACGTCACACCGGGGAAAGATACTCTCACCAGCAAACAGAAGTTCCACAACAGCTACGTCAGGAAAATCAAACCCATCAAAATGTCCGGCGCCCTCCTTCCCCTCCGAGCCCGGCACTGCCTCGTCACCGGCGCCTACGGGGGCATCGGCGCCGCAATTGCTTCCCGCTTCGCCGCCGAGGGCGCCCTGGTGACCCTCCTCGGCCGCAAGGAAGACAAGCTACGTGACCTCTGCGCTCAGCTCCCGCCCTTCCGGGATCATCGCCTCGCCCCTCTGACCTCCTCTGCCGCTGCCTCCGCCTCATCGTCGCCCTCCGAGGCTAAACCAGTCCACTCCTACGCCGTCATGGACGTCTCCGGTGACGCTCGTGATGAGGCTGTCCTCGATGATATCTGGGTTTGTCTCTCCCCCACCATCCTTCACATCAACCTGCCATCAACAACACATCGAAATACTACATTTATGGAAATGAGGCTACCTAGCTATCGCACCATGAACAAGTAGACACATTGACTAACAGGGACTTCCCCGTTCCCCTGCTCAGAAACGTACGGGCCAGATAGACGTCCTTGTCAACGCCGCGGGTATTGCGCAATTCCAGCTGTTGCAAAACACCTCCCCACAGGCCGCAAGAGAGCTTATCGACACAAACCTCATGGGCACAATCTTCATGTCTAGGTACATGGCCCAACGCATGAAGCGCAGACGCGCAGACAGGGATGGTAAGTCATGACATGACGCTACACCATGCATATTCACTTTTCCTACACAACCGTTGTTGCCACACACGATCGATCCGATCGCAATACCCGCCCGCACCGCACAGATGCGCCAGCCTCATGCCAATGATGTGCTGCACACACACACACACACATTTCACATACGCGCACGCACAGCATCAACAGCCCCGCTAACCACGAGATCCGCTCTCTTCAGCCTGCATCATCAACGTTGCTAGCTTGCTGGCCGAAAAGGGCAGCCCTGGCACCAGTGTCTATGCTGCATCAAAGGCCGGTATCATTGGTAGGTTCTTCTTTCTTTTTTGGTCTCTGCTTCGTCTCTCATACATCGCGGGGTCGCCGTGGCTGTATCCCTTCTAGCCCATCTCCCCCGATTTAGTGAAGCAAGTCTAACACCTCCGTGCCGCCCTGCTGAAGGCCTCACCCACGCCCTCTCCGTCGAGCTAGGGCCACTGCGCATCAGGACCAACGCCATCGTCCCTGGATACATAGAAACAAACATGCTTGCCGGTAAGAGATCCTCTGTTTATCTCCCATTTGCAGGCCCGACCTCAGAGGACCCCATAAACCAAATATCCTTGGTTAGGTAGGCCAACAGCTAATATACAAATTATCACAGCAATGTCGAGGGAGCCTCTCGAGAAGAGGATACCACTGGGACGCTTGGGGCGGCCTGACGAGGTTGCCGATGCCGCCGTCTTTCTTGCTCAAAACACTTACGCCAATAACTGCATCCTCAACTTGGATGGCGGGCTCAGTGCTGTCTGAGCTGGCGTGCAGCTCCCATTTTTACGTAGAAGGGACACCCTTGACTTGGAAGAAAGTGGTCCCACGCACAATCAGTCATCGTCAATGACAATGGCTCCGCCGGTAGAATCATCCACAATGACCACGTCGTCGCTGCCGCTCGTGGTAGCGACTACCTTGACCTTCTTCGCTTCGATCGGCTCGTCTCCATCATCCGGCCGAGGCCGCTTGAGGTTAGGTGCCCCCTCCGATGCCTCAACAGCGGGTTTGCCATTCTGCTCGCTCGTGCCGTTGGATTCGGCGGATACCTCCTTCTTGGGCTTGCGAGGGATCTCGGGCTTCTTGTCCGCGACCAAGCCCTGGATCGGCTTGTCAGTCAGGGGCTCCTTGCTGTGCGGTTGTTAGTTTGTGGTTTAATACTAGCTTTTTAGTAGATGAACGTACGATTCCTGGATGCTGATGACGACGTTGACAAAAGGCTCGTCATCGTCTTCATCAATAATTGTTAGAAAACAGTCCTCCCTGATTCCAAGCTCGCTCAGCTTCTTAGAGAGGTTCTCCGTCTCATCCGGGTCGTAGAGCGGTCCGACGTCATTATTCAGCGCGAACTCCTTGTCACCGTAACCAAGCTCCAGGCGCACAAAGTCTTCGACGAGGTCCTTGAGCGTCGCTCGGGACATATCAACAGTGATGCTCGTCTGATATACGCTGCATACCGGGCAATCTGGGTTAGGGGCGCGGTACTTGCTCGAGTTAAGCAAACGGGCAGGGTTGTGAGGAGAGATGAACACCTAGCCAGACACATTAGACTACCGATTCCGGCTAAGACGCAGAAAGTTTCGACCTTACCTCCTTAGTCTGAGTGAAATCGCCTCTCAGCACCTTGAACGATTGCAAGACACACAGGCCGGCGACAATGGCATTGGTTGTCGCAATGGCAGGGATAATGTTACCAGCCATCTGCTTGATATCGAAGCGCGACTTTCTTTCAATGCCGAAGATGGATGATCGAATATTTGCGCTCGAGGTCACAAAGTCCAACGTGTCCTCATCGTCCTTGTCGAAGGTGATTAGGGGCTCAGGGCCCGATGCATCCTTTCTGTACGCCTTTTTCAGCTCCAGCATCCGTTTACTCAGACGATCTAAGCTGTCGGCAAAGACTGCAAAGTTCTCCTCCAACGTCCATACTTGCTGTCCTTCCTGCAGAATAGTCTCCTTCGAGGCGAGGGCTGCGGCTGACTGCTCGGACAGGGTCTTGTAGTCGAGAGCCTCGGGCTTCCGTCTGGACTTCCACATATCCTCCATGGACGCGAGTCGCACAATGTCGGCGTTGAAGACCTTATCGAAGAGCAGCTGCGGGAAAGCATCGGTGCCCAATGATTCGCGAATCGTTCTCAGAGCCGCGGCTTCCTTCTTCAACTCTTCAATTTCCTTGGCATTGTCGGCATCGGCCGAATTGTCAAACGCGGACTCGTCTTCGCTTGCGCCAAAGATTTCATTGAGAAGATAACTTTTGCCCCACACGATGCAGTGGATGGGCTGGCTAGGGGTGCTTCGGATGGTGCAGACCGGGTAGGACTTAGGCGTCTCCTTCGGCGTGCAGTCGTAACATGCGGTAACACCCTTCTTGATGACCTGGACGTTACCGTTGAATCCCGTCGTGCCGCTCTCGATGAGAGGTACGTCCGCGGCCAAGCACATCCTGTTAACGTGCCGTCTAGCCTCCAGGTTATCCAGCGCATTGAAGACAATGTTGAAGTCGCGGAACCACTTGACGTTGAATTGGGCATCCTTGATGTTGGCATGATGCGCGACGATCTTGACCTTGGGGTTGAAGGGCTGTGCCGCATCCTTGGCCACCTTTTGTAAGTTAGTATTGCAATAATCTCCACATCTTCAACATTGCTTCTGGTACCATACCAATGCCTTGGACTTCTTGATGTGCTCGTGTCGGAAGAGGAATTGTCGGTTGAGGTTGCTCAAATCGATGGTGTCGAGGTCGACGACGTGAATTTCACCGAAACCCGTAAGCACGATGTTCTTGAGTAGTTCGCATCCGATACCGCCAGCTCCAACCATAAGAACGCGCGCCTGCGTGTTGTAAGTTAGCTCCATTGACTCTTCAATTGCATCGTAACCCATCATCGGGAGAAAATTGGCTGCTTTGGGAATAGGCAAGGGGGACGCCGTTGGATGAAAGCCGCGATGCTAAGTAGGTCGCGTGGTCTGATGCGCCGGGGCTCTGACGAGGGTCACGACGTACTCTCTTCACATTGGCGTTCAATGGGCCGCCGAGCGATTGCTGGAAGTACCGATCACGCGTCTGCACGGCGGGAGGTCGCTGCTGCTGCTGTTGCTGCGGCTTTTGTTGCTGTTGCTGCTGCGTCGTTTGCGCGAGTGGTTGAGGGGCGGGGATTGCTTCCGTTTGTGCTGGTTGCTGCTGCTGCTGCTGTTGCTGTGGTGCTGATGCCGGTGTAGTCGCCGTCGCGGCGGCGGGCGCTGTCGCCTCTGCCGCGGTTGCTGCAGGTGCAGCTCCTGCTTCCGCTGTGGAATCCATCGGCTTTCGGTCGATCGCAGTATTGATGAGGTGTCCGTTCTACGTGCGTCGACGTGTCAATGGGTTGGGAAGGGGAAAGATTGGTGCGATCGCGTGGTTTTGGGAAGAGGAAGTTGAGGGTGGAAATAAGCCGCGCCAGGTGGGATGGAACGACGGCGGCGGGTGGTTTCAGCACGGGAGCGAGGCTGCGAAGAGGAAGGTTCCAAGGTTGAGGTTTTCCCTGAGGTCAGCAGAAGGAGCGATCGCCTAGCACAAGGTTCCAGCCAATACCGGCAGCCGGTGACGAGATCCCAGCAGGGATTGGAGCTGTTGGTTCCTGGGGAACTTCCGCGCTCGAGTCCTGATTGGCAGATAAAGGCGGGTTTCTCTCGCTTGCCGATGGAAGCTCGCTGGAGCACGCTGTAACCTCAGCGGTCTAATGCACCCTACAGTCACCTTGAAACACTGGACGCCTGCTCGTAGGTAGTCAGGTACCTCACCTAAAGTACCTCACCTTTCCATTACCATTGGAACCTTGGAAAGTAAGGTACCTTCCATTACCTTAGCTGCTTACCTTGCACTGTACCTAGGTAGGTACCTCACCAAACACAGACCGACCTCGCTTGCCCAGCGAAGGTTCGTTGGGCCTCCACCGGTTCCTCGAGTCCTCTCTATCCGTGGTAGGGCCGCTTCTCATCCCCTTTCACGTGGAAAGCAGCCGGTTGGAACTTCACCTCAGAAACGGGGTTCACAGGTATCCTTGAAGTGACGAGATCGCAGGTCAATCACTCGGAGGGGTCCTCTGGGATAATCGCCGCTTGTGATCCCGCCTTTTGATCCAACAAAAAAACAACCGGGTCAGTGCAATATGGGTCTCTTCTTTACCGCCTAGTCCAAACTTCTAGTCCTGCGATTCTTGCCCTCATCGTCGTCCAAGCTCTGTGAAAGATCCTACTGCATTGCCGCCGGCTAGAAGCATCTGAAAGGTGCAGTCAAGCCAAGTTCTAAGGTCGTATTCCTGCGGCTCTCTCCAAGCAGATATCGCCTGCAAGCATCTCACCGCGGGGCACTGGACACTCACCGAATCATGTCCGACGACGAGCCCGACCTCGAACTCCTGGCCCTCCTCCGCCAGCGGTTCCAGGGGAAGCTCAACATTGACGATGAGCCCGAGACGGGCGTCCTCGACGGTGCCGAGTTCGTCTACGACAACTCCATCGACGTCGCTATCGACATGAGGGCCACAAAGAGGGCCGCCGCCACCATCTACGCCCAGATGGAGCAGAAGAAGTACTCCACCTCCACCTGGGCAGAGCACGAGCTGCACCCAAAGACAAAGGACGAGAGCACCGCCGCCTTCATCTTCACCATGGACCTGCTCAACTTCTGCTTCTGGTCAGAGAAGCCCGAGGACGAGAGGTACGCCGTAGAGTACCGCGGCAAGACCTGGACGGGCTACTGGAGCATGGTCGCCTCACTGCAGCGCGCCCTCGAGGAGGGCATCCCCATCACCAGCTCCGACTTTTGGCAGAGCGAGGACGAGTGCAGCTTGGAGGTCCTAAGGCACGTCTTCCGCTCCAAGACGGAGGAGGAAATGCCCCTCCTCGAGGAACGCCTGGCGTGCTTGCGAGAAGCCGGCACCGTCTTGTATGAGAGGTACAGTTGCAGCGTGACGAAACTCATCGAGGCCGCCAATGGCTCAGCAGCAAGGCTTGTGAACTTGCTCGCCCGCGATTTCGACTGTTTCCGCGATGAGCACAAATTTGACGGCCGTCGGAAGCCCGTGAGGATCCTCAAGAGAGCGCAGATCCTCGTGGCCGACATCTGGGCATGCTTTGGCGGTGAGGGTATCGGTGCCTTTAAGGATATCGACAAGATCACCATGTTCGCCGACTACCGGGTCCCGCAGATTCTCAGCACCATGGGTTGTCTGTATTATAGCCCCTCGCTGGCGACGGCTATCACTGATAAGCGGGTTATTGAGAGTGGATCGAGGTTGGAGTTGCAATTGAGAGGTGAGTCGTCACCAATGTTGTGTCACATCTCGCTATATTTTGCTAACTGCGAAAACAGCGTGCAGTATTTGGTGCGTTGAGCTTATCAAGCGGGAGATCCAGAGGGACCACCCGGGAACGAGCGTCAATGCCATTTTGATCGATTTCTTTTTGTATGATACCATGAAGGAGCTGGAGGCCGCTGGCACGGAGACGATAGGACATCACAGAACGCGGAGTATTTGGTACTAAGGTAGAGAGCAGCTTGGTCAATGTATGGCCGAATTGGGGAGACGAGAGACCTTCAACACCTCTGATAAGGGGTATAATTCATGTTCGCTGTCGTCCAGCATAGAACATTTCGCGTGGTAATTTACAGCAAAACCCTCGTGTCGCATGCCTCGTGTTTTTCTCCTCCGAGAACCGATCCGATAAAGCCATAGAATCGCTAAAAACTCCAAACTCCGTCTGCTTATTCACACATGGTTTCCGCGGGAAGAAGGCACCTCAACGGTCACCCGGTCAGCGACCCGCGCCTTCCCCCTTGGTCCCTCCCCCAAGGTCCACGAATACACAATCAAACATTCATCCGATGCCATCCCGCCACGATCAGGGCCCTCATATACCCCCTCAATCCCATTCTCGTCACCAGCACAGCAGGCGCCCCCTAGGTCGGGGGTCAGGTCAAACTGTGGCGTGGGTGGTGGAATGGTGAATGGTCAACAATCAAATCGCCAATCAGCGTACTCGACGACAGGCTCAGCGCATACGAGTACCGAGTTCGAAACCCAGCATGAGCACCAAGAGATGTAGCCCCCAGTCCAGCACCGGGGGGGTGAACTCTTTTGTCTTTTTAACCTTCGAGATGCTTACTCGCTTGCTTTGGGATCCTACACATCATGAGGCCCCGACCGCTGTCGAGTTCATGAGCTCGTCGAGGTGCGCCCGCTCCGAGGCGTGGCCCTTCTTTTCTTCCTTTAGAAGTACCGCGAGGACCTCGATTGGCGGGTTGAGACCGAGTCTCTCGGCGCGCTGCCACCGCTTCATGCGCTGGAGACCGATGCAGGGCTACAAAGGTATATCAGTATCTCAGTCCGGCAAGCAAGCAAATTGATCGAAAGCGACTTACACCATACTGAGAGCTGACATCAAAGTATCGCAAAACTCTCTCAGCCAAACTCACATCACCCTGGTGCACCCTAGGCGCAATGCGCTGAGCCTCGATCGACTTCCAGTACTTGTTGATCTGGGCGTCGCTGATTTTCTCGGCCCTCACTTCGGCCTCTGACTTTTCGGGGGCTTCTTCCTTCACCTGCTCCGCCTCCTCGACCTCAGGGTGCGCGGGGTCTTCGATCTGGATCTCGTCGACGACATCCTTGTGCTCCTTGTTGCTTGGCTTGGCGACGTCCGATCGGTCAATGGCCGCGGAAAGAGCCACCGCTTTCTTGGTGTCCTTGGGTACGGGCTTCGATACTCTGTTGGAGAAGCTGATGGTCGATTGGCCCCGCGCCGGGCCAGGCCTGGCGCGGCCTCCGCCTGTTGATCTCCTGGTGGTTGGCATTGTGTGAATTGTCGCAAGTGCGTATACTGGCAGGGGTCTGAATGGGTGGCTATGAGAATGCCAAGTTTGAGTTACTGATTTACGAAAAGTCGAAATATTGATAACGTCAATCTGATGAATCCGAGATATCACTGATCGAAGGTGAATGCCTGAAACAACGTCGCCAATGGGTGTTGTCGCAATGTCATCCGTGAACCAGCGCTGGGGTGTAATGAATGACGAAAGAGGTAGGAAGGTGGCAGGGGCTTTAATTTGGCGGGGCAACGCGAGGTTGGAGCCAAAGCACGTGATTTACTGTGTCTATTGAATAATACGCACCGTAACTGACACTGTCCTCATCATCATCGTGATTGTTCATTTCGATATGTCTCTATCGTCTGTCTTTGGGTCTGCCGCAGGAAGTTTCATGTTCCAGGGTATTGTAGATGCACGTCGACTTTTCCTTGACTTTTTGCTTTCCCAAACTCCTTTATGCACCAGTAGCCTCTCTATAGAATGAAATGCTCCTGTTGGCGCCCGCCGTACAGAAAGACTCGTTCTTTCCAGTCTTCGGGAGCCACTTGACAGCCCACAGAGCCTTGTCTGTCTCGCTGTGTGTCGCGACACAGGCACTACGCTCAACTGACCAGACCTTGACCTTTCCGTCCATCGCTCCGCTAAGCAAGTATTCACCCGTGTCGTTCCAGTCAACAGATGTGATCCATGAAGAATGGCCAGTCATGTTGCTGACTTGCTCGCCATTCTTGATGTCGTAGAGAGCAATGACGGATGAGTCGCCAGCAGCAGCTAGTCTGGTGTTTCCAGGAGAGAATGCGACAGAGCGGACAGATTTGACCAGGCCTGGGATATCCCTTTAGCAAACAATCATTATGAGTAGAACGTTGGGTGGGATGTTACCTGGTAGTGAGAACAACAACTTTCCGTTGTCGTTGTTGAAGACGTAGACAGCTCCGTTCTGGTGGCCACTAGCAGTATACCGTCCATCACGGCTCAAGTCGACCGACATGCCAAAGCTCCCCTGGCCGGGACTTCCCGTCTCGTACTCTCTAATCTTGGGCGTGCCCTCTTCGCCAACATCCCACACATTCACCCGGCCGTCGTAGGTCGTACCCGCGAGGAACTTTCCATCCTCGCTGAGCGCAATGGCCCAGACCTCACCGGCCTTGGCCGCCTTGTTCGTGATCTCCGAGTGGAGCTTCCACTCGCTCGTGTCCTTGTTGATGACCCAGATCTTCACCTCGCCGGCGAAGCCTGCACTTGCGGCTACCAGACCATTGCGGGAGGTGCAGATGTGGTGGCAGCCCAGCTTGTGTGCACCGCTGATGGACTGCGTGATGGGGATCGTGGGGTCGGCGGTGTCGTGGATGTGGAGGGTCGATGAGCCGCTCGCAGACAATACAGCCCTTGAGGTAGTGGCCAGACTGAAAATGTCGGTTATGTGGGCTGACGTTACTCTATGTTAGCAAGATGAATCTTTGGGAACGGTGGTTCGGAGATTCTCAAGCTCCAGCCGGTAGGTAGCTTACCATTATCCACAGTGTGTGTGGTCAAGTATTGTTTCGACTGACAAAGTTAGCTTCCGTGTCATACATAAACAGACAATTGAGGTCGTACCATGATTCCCGGCCCATGTGAAGCTCGTACCGCTGTAATTGATGCGCGGTTGTGAGTGGGAAGGTAACGAACGCGATGTGGTCGGCAAGGTGGGGGCTGACATCACACATTTGCGAGAAAAGACCCCTGTAAAGAGCACCCGGGGCACGGCAGGAGGGGCAATGGAGGGGCACCAGCAAGCGGGCACCCATGCTCAGTTTACCTCAGCACCCCGACTTGATTCAACCTGACCCTCTCTTTCATCTTCTGATTATGTATCTCATAGAACACTTATTTCGGAATAGTTCTAGCCTATCTTAAATGAAAATTTGCGATGACCTTACTCCTCGCAGAAAGACCAACTTGCCTCTGAAAAACAATGTTGCCCACTTACATTGCTCCTGTCTCTATTTCAGCCTTCGATGGCCTTTCGTGTAAGTCAAAACGCCCTTGTATTCTTTGTACGCATCACAGGGGTCTATAGTAACGGAATCTGGAAGCAACGATCTCCAGCCCTCAAACTTACCAGGTCACTCCATGAGCTCAACTCACCTAGTCGAAGCAATCGCTTCTTGCTCACGGAAGAGCTCAACCATTGTAACGTTCTGACAGTAAAGAGCCAACTCATACGGCGTCAGGCCACCGATGTAGGGCTCGCCAGATTCCTTCGCTCCCCCCAAGGTCGTCCTGGCCCGCAAGTCAGCCCCTGCTTTGATCAGCTCCTTTGCAGTAGGTATCATGGCCAGGTCTTGCTTCTGCTGCGACAGACGCCGAGGGTCCTCCGGATCAGGATGCCATCTGCGCGCGTAGCACGTCATGTGCAGAGGCGTCCACCCCCGAGGGCCGAGGGCATTGGCGTCCGCGCCTTTCTTGAGGAGGAGCTCGATGGTCACGCTCGCTCGTACGCCCCATCTGCACACGACATGCAGCGGCGCGATGCCGTTGGCGTCCGTGACATTTGGATCGGCGCCGTGGGAGAGCAACCACTTGATTGCCTGATGTCGCCGGGTGACGTCGCCATACGCCGCGGCAAGCAAGGGTGTGCCAAAGTTGTACGTCTTTGACCTGGGAAGTCTGGGGAAGTTTCTCCCAAAGGTGCTATCTATACGTCCATAGTTCAGCATGTCTATCGGGGTTCCCGCCTTCTCAAAAGCGTAGTTGACTGATGCGCCGGCCTCGACGGCTGCTTCCAGCGCACGGAGGTTGCCGTTGAAGCTGGCCCATTGAAGAGCATACCAGTCATCCTCTCGCCCACTTCGTCTGTACAGCACACCTCTCAAGATTTGGTATAGTGTCCTACACGAGATAGTTAAGGTCTTGAGGTCGGTGATGCCGTCAAGAACGTCTGCTTCTGTCGGCTTATTGGGGTTTTCGTAAAAGAAGTTGTCCACTATCTCCAGGTCATCTGAGTCGGAGTCGGCCCCGGCTTCGAGAGCACCGTGAAGTCTCAGATGCTCTGCCGGCTTTGGCTGCGGTCGCGGACCAATGGCTTTGACGATCTGTAGGACGAGCTCCGTTGGGATAGGACTACCTGCCAGACCGGTGGTTTTGGAGTTGTCTCGAGGCAGCTGAGGTGATGTCATTTCGGTAACTTGGCTCAGTCCCAAAGTCGAACTTACAAGGTGAATTTGCCGTTCCACTCACGTCTATGCGATGCTTGTTGATGATGTCAGATGGGAATATTTGTGTCTGCTTGCGAGTTGTGGTTGACTTTGGAAGAGACAGTCAATGCCTTATATAATGTGGCATGTCGGTGCGCAGATAGTTCGAGGTCTTGTCTGCAGATTGACTTCTCACAAAAGATCTATGACCATATCTTTGCTCACCATAGTTGAGTATGATTATCAGATTGCATGGCTTGATTGTCGCTTTGCTATTGGTTATTGTTGTCTTGAATACCATTTGTTATTCACAAAGAACAATCAAGGCATTGCCTCAATATCATAAAACTGAGACTCCATCTTTGTCTGAGGTCACAACCCCCGTCACGTTGAACATGTCTTTGTTGATCCTATCAATCCAATCAGTACCCGATGGTTGGTTCTTGGGGCCGGGTCGTTAGGGACGGGAGGCTAGAAAGAAGAAAAGGCCTGACAGCAAGACCTAGATCAATACATCAAAGTCGTAGCGGAACAAATATAAAAGTTCGCTCAGGACGTAAGCCTCTGCAGGCGCCAAGCTTGAGAAAATCAAGTAGCATCATCAAACGAGTGCAGCAGACGATGGAATATAGAATGGCCTTTGTGTTTCGCTAAGGTTAATGTTCATGCCTCCATCTCAACAGGCCCGGCCATTGAAAACTGAGTGGATCGAGTCTTTCTGTGCTGTAACTGAGGTCTGATATTGGTATTCAAGGGCTGTATTTGCCTAGAACCTTTCTGGTACGTTACCTCTGGTCTACAGACGGAAGATACGTTGACAATTGTGTTGTGCTGCCAACATCTTCCCACGTTCCCAGCAGCATGCAGATGAGCTTGAGCTTACAACTTTGAACTTGGTCAGGGTCCTGCACTCTCCCGTCATCTCGTCGCTTCCAGCTATACAAGTTACTCAGTTAGAGCATAATGTTTTTACGGACAAGTCTCAGGGATGATGGGGAACTTCGTAACCTCTAGATGATATTCGAGGAACTTCATAGACCCTGGATGAATAGCCCATAGTCGACGCCGGTTGGGACAGACGTAGAGGCGAGCCTTGCTTCAAAGCAATTCGATTCCACTTTACTCAATTTCATAGCCAGCGAACGCCAGTCTGGTGACAGCTAGGCACATCGGAAGAAGGTGATGGATTGTCCCAAACGCCAAAGTATGCTAACCAATTGTACACTTGAATATACACGTCTCGAAATGTTACACAGCCGCGGGGCGATTTAAATGAACTTTCCTGAGGGGTTCTCCTCTTTCCACATGTCCTTGATCTCTGCACAATGGTTGTCAGTTCGACGTAGATGAAGAACGTTTCTTGCAAGGGAGACGTACTGCTCAGGCAGTGTGGGCATACAACGTGCTGCCTCTTGATCTGGCCGCAGCCTGGGCACTTGCACAGTGACTTGACATCCTGCAACGCCTTGCCAGCCATCTGCCTGTGTCTCTTCTTCGAGTGAGAGGTCTTCTTCTTGGGTACCGCCCGCAGGATGGACTCCCAGATGCCGCCGAGCCAGGCGGGGATGTTGAGGTTGAAAGCCGGAAGCGCGAAGGAGAGCGCCGGGAGGAACGAGTTGGTGACTTGGCGCGTGTAGAGGGAGAGGATTCTTGGTGACTGAGCGAAGGCTGGCGCGGAGATGCGAGGGAAGAGGGAGGTCATGCGCAAAGGCTGCGCGCCCATGGCGATGGCTGCCATTTTTTAGATGGTGATCGATCGGTTCGAGCTCTGATGGAGGGGTTGTCGGGGAGTCTGGGACTGCCGAAAGTAGAACCGGGTCCTAGAGTGACAACGGTATCGAGTCGGACCGACAGTTGTTTTGCTGCCGGGTATCGAGGGCTCGTGGCTGCGTGGATGTTCTGTCGCGAAAATGTGTATCTACGCTGAAGCTGCTACCTACACCACTGTCATGCACATCGCGAGGCTCAAGCTTGTTCCATTCCGAGCCGGAAAAAAAAACGGTTTGCGGCCGGGGAGCTGTCAATTGAGATCTGCCAGCCAATCACAGCTTTGAGGGTGCACAGACCGCCATCAGCCAATCAAGGCGATGGAGACCCCTTTTCCCCTTTCCCTCCCACAACCCCTGCACCTACCTCCCTGCAGGGAAATTATTTGTTTGCTGGAGTGGAAGGAGCAACCTATTAGCTGCAGCCAACGGCGACAGCCAGTGCCTGGCAGACAACTGGGAGACACGGGGGGGCACTGGGGGGTGGACGGGTAGCAAGCAAGTGCCAGCAAGAGAGGAAATTACCCTTGGTTGGGCCAAATCATTTGGTTGACTTTCCCACCTGGGCTCATTCTCATTCTCATTCACCGGCTTCTGTCCTTCAGAAACATCCGCCAACCTCGTGATCCTCTTTTTCCTCTCTCCCTGCCCATCGCCTTCTCCAACTCCGTCCCTTCTCCCCCCCTTGACGAGGCCGCAATTCGAAGTTCGAGTAACAGATACCCTTCTTGGAATACAGAAACGTATCTCAACTTCACTCCTTAACAGCACACACACACCCGCGCGTACTGTTCACTCTCGCTCCCTTGCGGAAAAGCTATCACAATGGCGCAGCCTCAAACCATCTTCCCCCAGACCCATGTCGGTTTCGACAGCATCACGTCCCAGATTGAGAAGAAGCTCCTGAAGAGAGGCTTTCAGTTCAACGTCATCTGTGTCGGTAAGTCATCCCCCCCGCAATTCCAGATCATAATCGTCTGGCCTAGCAAGCTGGATTGTCCCCTACGTCGCGTCGGCAGTTGACTGATTCTATCTCGTGTTTCCATGATATAGGCCAGACTGGTCTGGGCAAGTCCACCCTGATCAATACCATCTTCGCCTCCCACCTCATCGACTCCAAGGGTCGTTTGATGCCCGACGAGCCCGTCCGCTCCACCACCGAGATCCAGGCCGTCTCCCACATGATCGAGGAGAATGGCGTTCGTCTGCGCCTCAACATCGTCGACACCCCCGGATACGGCGACCTGGTCAACAACGACCGCTGCTGGGATCCCATCGTCAAGTACATCAAGGACCAACACTCCGCTTACTTGCGAAAGGAGCTCACCGCTCAGCGAGAGCGTTACATTCAAGACACCCGCATCCACGCCTGCCTCTTCTTCATCCAGCCCTCGGGCCATTCCCTGAAGCCCATCGACATCGTCGTCCTGAAGAAGCTGTCCGATGTCGTCAACGTCGTTCCCGTCATCGCCAAGTCCGATACTCTGACTCTCGAGGAGCGTCAAGAGTTCAAGGAGCGTATCAAGGAGGAGTTCGCTTTCCACAACCTCAAGATGTACCCGTACGACAACGACGAGTTTGATGACGAGGAGCGCAGCTTGAACACCCAGATCAAGGTCAGTCATGCCATTTGTGGCCCGCGCACATTCCAATTACTAACAGACCCCATAGGACCTCGTTCCCTTCGCCGTCGTCGGCTCCGAAAAGTCCATCATTGTCAACGGCAAGCAGGTTCGCGGTCGCCAGAACCGGTGGGGTGTCATCAACGTTGAGGACGAGAACCATTGCGAATTCGTCTACCTGAGAAACTTCCTTCTCCGCACCCATCTTCAGGACCTCATCGAGACTACCTCGCAGATCCACTACGAGACTTTCCGTGCCAAGCAACTGCTTGCGCTCAAGGAGAGCAGCGCGCACGGTGGCGGTAGCAGACCCATCAGCCCTGCTGCTGACCGTGAGCTCAGCCGGAACTCTCAACGAATGACCATGAACGGATACTAGTTTCCGGATATCCCAACCCCACCTACTCGAGGCGCCTGACGGCCATGATATTCTTGGGCAGCTGGGCTTCTGACGACTTTCAATCTCATGGTGTTATGCGCAGACCAACAAAAGAACAGGCACGGTACGGCCTCGACAGCATGCGGGTGCTGCATCGATCAGTAATGCAGAGGGGAGGTAGCAGCCGCTACGTCCATGGGAAAACTTGGCGAAAGCGATTTCGCATGGGAGGCTCGAACATGCTTGCGTGGCGCACGGATATAGGCCCATACCCCCTTCTCTAGACTTCATGGTCGTTGTTTAAGTACTTGTGCTGGCGAAAATAGTCCAATATTCCCCCTTTCCGCCTCATCAGCTGGACGCACTTCTACTGTTTTCTTATTTCCGCTTTTTTTTTAAAGCAGCATCTCAAGCTCGGCTTCACTTGTACCCCCATTTTCTTCTTACACTTTAATCCATTCGTACTCTGATAGAGAGTTCGTTTCGATACCTCGTGGAATACAACCGACATGGCTTATGACTTGCGGGCTTTGATGTTTCTTGTGATGTGTATTCCTCTGTCCTAAGTAAGGCAATATGCCAGAGGTTTCTGCCAAATGTAGATGTGGCTCTATGGGTTGCGTTTATACGCTCTCATGTGTGTATATATGCTCACAAGGACCGCCTGTGCTATAAAGAAGATCTATAGACCTTTGTGAACTCTTGAAGAATATTCAGTTTCCAACGCCCCGCCACAATGTCATCCAACCCAGCCTCCCACCTCCTTTTCTCTTTTGTGCGCTCCTCGTTATGGTCATTGACTCCCTACTGAGAAGGGTTGTAGACAAAGTCCTCGAGAGTCTTGTAGGCCTTCTCGAGGTCGTCGTTGACAATAATCAGGTCGTGGACGCCGGGGGTCTTGGAATAGGCCAGCTCGAGCTTGGCTTGCGCGAGACGCTTCTGGACACTCTCTTCCTTTTCGGTGCCGCGGCCGCGGAGGCGCTTCTCGAGCTCTTCTTCTGAGGGGGGCGCGATGAAGACGTAGCGGGCGGGGAAGTTTGACGTCTTGATTTGCTTGACTCCCTATATTGTGGCTCGTGTCAGCATTGTGGGTGTATTTTTTCGGAAGAGTTCGAGGGTATATAGCAAGCGTACCTCCATCTCGATATCGAGAACGACGAGCTTGCCCTTGGCGGACTGCTCCTCAATGGTGGCCTTTGAGGTGCCGTACGAGTT